TTCTATATGACGACACTGGCAAGTATAAATTAACCTCATTAACGCATCCTATGACTGCGACTTTCAGAAATTATCGTCTCAATGTTAAGTTACACAGCCGTTAAAATTATTTTCTTGTAATAGAGGATCACACTATACGACAACACTGCCATCTTTATTCGTTCACAGGGAATTAGACTGATTAACTAGTAACGGCTGTACCAAGTTCTTAGGAATAAATAAACGGATAATCACTGCATACGAGAGATTAGTTGCTCTCAGAGCACTGATTATGAAGAGCACTATCTTCTGGGATTTGGTGCCTTATAGTCTGGGAGAAGTTCACCGAAGGGGCAGAATAATGAGCCAATCCTTCTGCTTGGGATCATCTTGAGATACATAAACTTATTGGTTCTCCTTGTGATAAGGAACAAGAAGTTCTCGCAATAACTAATCGCATACTTTCTTTCACTACATATTAATTGATATGACACGGACAGGCTAGAAAACACCACGTCCAACAGTTGTCTTACAGTTGCGTGTTCATTCATAGCTGCGGGAAAGGGTTTACTGAACCGTTGCCTACCAGAGGCCGTCTCTTATGACCTCCTGACTGCTAAATTGCTGCTGGCCTTCGCCACCAAATTGATACTGGACTGGACTAAATTGCCGCTACAGAGTATATGGTGATCAAGGGAGTAAAAGAATCTCCATTGTTAGAGGCCGCTACCAGACAACGAGTGCATTGCTGTCAAGTTTGAGTATAGAGAAGCTGTTACTAAGCAACATTGCAGCTATTGAAGAATGTGAGATTTGGTCCTGTCATTGGAGCAAGAGATAAACACTAGTAAGATGGGCATGATCTGCTTTACAAAGCCTGGAATGACAGAGGACTTATACGTGTATAGAGTGCAAAAGGAATAATTTTCAATAACATGCTCTGCTCGATACGTACCAATACACTTAACAAAGGCCAAGCATATTCATAAGAGACAACCCCATCCCTTCGTCAGAGAAGATGATACACTAACACTACGACCATAAGAGTTCAGTTGCGAAATGGTCGTGAGCCTCAAGGGGCTTGGAGCCAAGACTAAATGACTGGCTGTAAACCTCCAGTAACTTTGCATCTGAGGCCGCGCCATAGCTGAAGTGGTTAGTCGCTGGCTTCCCACAGCGGCAGCCCAGGTTCGATCCCGGGTCTGGTGAAGTGGGATTTGTGGTGGACAAAGTGGCGCTGGAGCAGGTTTCCTCCGAATACTTCGGTTTCCCCTGCCAATCTTCATTCCACCAATTGCTTCACAATCACCCTCACCTATCATCTGGGGCTGGTACAATAGGCCAGAAGTGGCCGCAGTACAAGGGACTTAGTCCCACTCCACTAGCAATAAAAAGAAACTTTGAATCTGAATCTGTCTCTCAGAGTCAGCCTGGGCACTGACCGCACATACGGTCTTGAAACAAACATAAACGAGGCCAAAACCAAGAACTACTGTGCTGGCGAAGTCCAGTAGCAATTTACTGGACCGAACTTGATTCAGGCTCGTTAGCAGTCAGTCATAGCGCGCAGGAATTTGAGATTAGGGCGAACTAAATACACAGCCGTTGCCTACTAATGACTATAGATCATCGAGTAACATGAAATACACATTGCTATAACTAAATATTTGAAAAAAAGTTTGACTGCAATGGCTTAATGCATTAGCAATTAAGTATGCCTGTTTTTCAGTCAGGAGAAAATTGCTTTACAATATCTCACTTAATATCTTTATACCCCTGAATCTACTTAAGTTCAATGCAACGTGTTATGAATCCTGTGGTAAAATCCATACAGGTTAACACTTGTTCCAAGATTTTCCATTCAGAACGGTCTGAAACAAAATTCTTTATCGCCATTAATTTCAGCTTTGCTTTAGAATATTCCATTAAATGGGCAAGACCAGAACGAATTAAAATTGAATGGGACACTTTTGCTTGTGGTCTGCCCTGACGATGTCAATTTATTCTGCGAGAAACATAAATACAATAAATGTATACAGTATATGGTTCATTACATGTGAGGAGGCTGACCTAGAAATGAAGGCAGAGAAAATCAAGTTCAACACATGACTTTGTGGAAGATAAATCAAGTAAAATAACTTAACATGTACCTTTTAATTATAAGAAATAACATATGATATTTGTTATGACGATTCTTGACAAAAATTGTATATTTAAAAATGTTTGGTGGCAAACTTGAAGACTGCCCAGATGTCGATGTGAAAATAATAGAAAGAGGAAGCTTAGAAATGGGAAAGTTGTTGTGGAATTGCTTCTTCTGGCTCAGAACATAGGCACATTGAGGCACGTATGGAAATTGTAATGGATGTCCATGTTGCATAAAAAATACAGACTACCTTGACCAGCTGATCCAATATTAGCTTCTGCTGCAAGGCACTATTCAGCTACTTTGTTATTAGGACTTTCGTAGTTCTATCTGTTCCCCCAAAATTCAGGTAAGATCCTGAAAATTAATCTCCTGTCTTAAGTGCATGTCCGTTTTTGTGTGTGCGTGCGTGAGCGCGCGCGCGCGCACATGTTTTGAAAATAATGTTTGGTGCCAGTCTCGGTGCCAGTCAAATTTGTTACGTTGCAAAAATTAATATTTTTTAGATTAAATGAAACCTTTGCTCTCTTGATAACCACTTGGCACTCTAATAAGCAATTATGTTGCGTCACTAATAACAATTTGTATAATGAATAATATTAAACTTAATAATTCACAAGTAGCCTTCCAATCTTTCTTTTTCATTCGCGTTAACGCACATAAACTGTGTTCTAGAATTTGAAAGACATAATTAGATCAATAAAATTAGGCGTAGTAAGCGCGATCGAACAAATACATTTTTGTGAATGAAAATATCGCGTTCTATGGACCTTGCTTGACATTTGATAGAATACGTAACCATTACAGAAATTTACTGACGGAAACAAAAACAAACTCCGTGGCTTGAGTCTGCAAGCGGACTATACCGACCGAACGACCGCCACTTGTCGGCGAAATTAGTGCCAACTTTAATNCCGACCGAGCGACCGCCACTTGACGGCGAAGTTAGTGCCAACTTTAATGGATAGAGGGTGTCGCGTGATCAGCGTAACGAATCCCCACGGCCGTTGATTTCGGTTTTCTATTTCCCTGAAATAGCTCCTCAATTACCCTCACGAGGCTGCGTGAACCGCGTTCCAGACCCACTACATCTTAGAAAATCTGGTAAAGTAGGGAAACGAACCAGGACCTCTGGATCTCTAGCCAGAAACTCTGATCATTAGACCACAAAGGCGGTCGATTAACTGAGAATAACCTTTAGTACTTACCAGAAACTAAGGCATGTACTGTCTTCGCTTGCTTGGAAACCAGGATCGTGGGTTCGAATCCCACTCAGGGCATGAATGTTTAGTCTGTGTGTGTGCGTTTTTCTGTGTTTGTGTACAGGTAGAGGCCTTGCGACGAGCTGATCACCCGTCCAAGGATTTCTACTGAATGTGTAAGATCTAGATAAACGAAAGTGAACGGAGAAGTTCATGGAGGTAGGCCTAGGCCCACTGGGGCTGTAATGCCAAGGGAGGAGGAAAATACCAGAAAATCTTNCTTATTCTATTTGCATATGTTATTTACAACAAAAAAAAAACAGTTTTCGCTCTTCTGAGGTTCGGTTTCTTGCGAGAGGTGTGTAGAAAGCGCAGGATCAAAATATAACATAATATGAATTATACAGTACTAGATATTCCATTTTGTTTGCAGTGATATGAAGGCGTTTAACAATAATTCTGGAGAGCAGTGAAGTGATATAATTACCAGTTTATTCTGGCAACTTGAAAATACCGTCACTGAGGAACATTAGAATGTTCCCGCGTAGCCATATTCAAGAAAACAGTGAGGAGCGTGAGGTTTCCTGACGAAAGAATATGGCGTCTTGTGCAAATTTAGACGTTAGTTTATATGCTGTATGACAGAGCGAGAGAGAGAGAGGCCTGAATCATTTGTTTCTAACCAAACACATTTTAATAAAACAACAACAACAACAGCAACAAATAACAGAACTTGGCTGGGTGCAATACCGTAGTGTTGTTACATCATCTTAAAATAGCTTCGGCATCTTCTATGATTTTCACTACACAAACGTAATAAAATCTGGTATATTCGATATTACCACATATTTCTTATTATCTGTCTGCTCTCTGTTTAAGTCTAATACTATGAAAGCAACACCTTCCTAATTTTATGTAGCACGTGGGAAATATTTACTTCCCTTTTATACTTTTCTCTCTGTCTCACCGTTTAAAGGATCACATTTTTGGCAACAAATGGGGAATATCACAAGTTCTAGAGCTGACCCTTGCTGTTTACCACTTTCGTTCATTATGCTTAGTGACTGACTTGAGAGGCACGAAGCCCGACACTCCAATTTCCATTTCCCTTACACTCCTATAACACATTTCTTCGAACGACAATTTTTTCCAGAAATATATTCTTGTTCTTTACAATTCTGCTTCAGCGAAACGACAGTTCAGGGTACAATTCTGAGCCAACAAATCTGTACCAAACATTTTGTATTCCCCTGTTGTTGCAATGCGTGAGTAGATTTCAAGTACTGAAACAAATGCAGTGGACTTGTCCCAACGTACAAACTTTAAAGGAGTCTACTACAACCGCAATGGAACTCTTTCTTTAGAATGTGCTCAGACTGATCTCTCATAAAGGATGTCGTTCCTCTGTCCCTTTCCTTTACCATGAGGCATTCTTCTTTAAATTGTTGGAGCATACGTCATTCAGTGTAGGTATTTCACAACCTTATGGGCCTCCACGGCTTGTTACAAGGATACCTTTTCTTTTTACTTTTTACACGTATCTTTCCGAACTGAGTGGGAATCCAGCATTTGTCAGTGCCCCGAGCTTCATAACACCTCTCTCCGGCCCTGCATCTGTATAATACATGTTACAGTTTTTTCTAGAAGGCAAAGAATAGTTGAAAAATTCTTACCACAGAGCAGCAACTTTTGGTTTCAGAACTTCAGGCACTGCAAAAGATTTTGACGTTTTTACATTGTATTCTTTACGAAGACGAGGCATATTCCAGACGGCTTCACACACACTAGCACACTACTCTTGGCACTACACAACTGAATTAGAATCCACTTAGTTGACCAGGCTCTTCCCACAGCAGTTAATTGCTACTGTCCGTCACGTCACAACGCCAGGGTTATCGCCTGAATATCCTTACATGTGCGTCTGCGGTCTAGAGACACCGCGCGTTCTCCATGTCTGCAGCAACGAGGCGACAGAGCTTATGAAATGGTTCCAATCCAGCATCTTGCCCTGGCACGCTGTCGGCACGTCTTTCATCTTTATTCGTCATCATACTGTCTTCATTGTTCATAATTTGCTCTCCCAGTTTTATGCATCCTTTCAATGTTTTTCATTATTTATGTTTGCCTAGATATTTATAAATTACGTAATCCTACTGCCATTTTGCACGAAGTTCTTGCGGCATAGGACTTAATTTTATTTTATTTAATTTACGAGGATTAATGTAAATAATGCCGGTCACGGTAGCCGAGCGGTCTAAGGCGTGCACTGTCTTAGCTCGCTCGGAAGTCGGGATCGTCGGTTCGAATCTCACTCAGGGCATGGATGTTTGTGTGCGTTTTTCTGTGTTTGTCTACAGGCAGAGGCCTTGCGACGAGCTGATCACTCGCCCAAGGAGTCCTACCGCATGTGTAAGATCTAGTAAACCGAAGTGAAACGGAGAGTTTCATGGAGGTAGGCCTAGGCCCAAATTGGGGCTGTAGCGCCACAGAAAAAAAAATGTAAATAATACTTCTTTTCGTAATCTCTTGTATTGCAATTTTCTTTATTGTTTTCTAGTTGGCATTTAAACTTAATATTTGCCTGCATCTCTAAGATGAATTTTCTTAGTATAGTTTATTGTTTCTTCTACATGTATTTGCTAATTTCTTACTATTTTCTAATCAAAAGGTTAATCAACTCCGTCCAGTGTGACTGATAAAATGTTTTTTTCTTTCTCTCATTTTTAATCTTTCATCCTTGACATATTTCAGTCTTAGAGATTATCTTCAAGAGGATATATCAATACAGGCAGAAACTACTATTACAATGTGATTGGTCAATATCAATACATGCATACAGTATCATCACAATGCCATGAATATAAAATCTGGCCCTTTAACAATTAGAGCGACGTGCATGAATACATTAAAATATTTATAATTTATTACAATTAGTCTGTTTGCAAGAGTAATTTAAAAAGAATTCGTTAAAATTTAGATCCGTTTTGGTTCATGACCTTTATACTGCCTCCCTTTAAAGGAAGTTGAGTGTCTGCCGCGTCGTGGTTCCGTTGTTTGGTGAATAGGACTACTTCGTGTCGTCCTGTTGTTCGGGCCGCGCTGTGTTGCTGTTGTTGTAATATTGCTAGTGTGACGGACCAGGACGAACCAAATCAAATTTCTAATCACTTCTTGCATAATGAATCCTCCCGCCATATAATTTCCTGTTCCAGTAGTGTTCAATAAATATATGTAGCATCTTTCTCTCCTTACCGTAGAGGTCAGCCAACTTTCTCCGTTCCTCTGCCTCCTGGAAACATTCCGAATCCCACTCTCCATCGTATCGCGGTCTTCTCTCGGTCCTTCTGCAACAGCTCGCATGTTCAATCCTACCCCGTACATTTCTCAAATAATTATGAAACAACGAAGATATCTCTTCAATACCACCGAGAAAAGTCGAGTGGATTAGCTAAGCGGTGACAATGTGGCTACCCTGATCGAAGTCCTTCATGGATTTACTCAGCTCCCGCAGGCAAATGCCAGGATAATATCTCCATAAGGCTATTGCCGCTTCTTTCAAAATATTTTGCAAATTGCTTTTTATCAACAAAAATTCGACGCTGCAAAGTCTAGATACTTAGAGCACCATAAAACAATCTATAAGATTCCATAGAGAAAAAGTTTTACCTGTCCGTATCATCACATTTTTCTTTCACATCATGATATATACGGTTATAATATTCCTCTTATCTCTGCCAAACAAATGCAAGACAAAATCTTTCCATTTCTTCTTTCATTCTCTTCATGTTATTTCTGTCCCAGTCACAACATTGACGGACAATGTCCTGGTCTTACGATCAATAAGTTTATTTTGTTATTGGCCTGAAGTCAGTTACAATGTTTTCATATGACTTGGGCACTTTTCGTATTCTTATCAATGCTAAACAATTTTTTTAGCCTACTTGTGACTGGAAGTTCAGGACCTCTTTATTTGAAGCGGACGCTATCAACTGGATGTCGATAGCGTCGTGCTCGTTTCTACAAAATTATAAATATGAGAGATTTGGGAAGGATATAACAAGTTTAACATAATTTGGCATGGCGATAATCTAGCCTGAGAGAAGCAGGAGTGGCAAGAGGGTCAACCTCGTGACAATCTTCTTCCTCTTAGAGGTCAGCACTGTAACTCCACATACTGAGTGCTCTCCAAAACCTGAGAAGTTTCCTTCAGCAAGTTAGGGTCTGTGACACCAAATTCAGAACTTATAAATGTTCCAGAGACAGCGTATTATCACTGATCCCTTTCGGGCGATAAGAATGGAAAAGTTCAAATTTATTTATTTTAAATTGTGTATAGTGGAAATAGATTTAGATTAGGGCAACGTTTCATGACCCCGTCACTTTTTATCTGTAAGGCTAAATAATTGCGCTCGCCTGCAACATTTACTACAAAACTTTTGTTCGCTTTCTGTCGCTGGAACCCACAGTCACGGTCAGTGATACAGTATTTGAGGTTCTCAGAGCAGCGGTCATGAAAAATTGTATCTTTTGGGATAAAATGCAACGTAGTCCGTTAAAAATTAACCGACATTTAGGAGGTATATATGGCCTTTATGTCCAGGGTCGAAGAATAAACCAAGCAGGAACCAGAGCTGATTTCCTTCTTGGCTTATTCTTCCACGGCAGAAATTGATGCGAAATGTTTCTCCGAAATGTCGCTTGAGTTTCAACGGGCTACGAGCCTTTATAACCCAGAAATAGAACAATTGTGTGAATGACATTTGCGATACCATGTTAAAGTAATGCATAAGCGATAGGCTACCCACTCCAGCGACCACTACTAGTTGCTCAGCCAACTAACAAAGCTGTTTTCGGAGGAGAGAGAGGCAGTCTTTACAATATGCTGAACATTCTGCAATATTTGCACGTGTTCAACAGTTTCTTTTGTTGAACTTGGTATTCTCACAGCAATTGCTAAGAATATCATCTTCTGTGTTGAAAGACCCTGAGTTTCTTAGAGAGTCCGACGTTTCGGAGAAACCTATGGCTCCATCTTCATGCTTGAAGAGTATACAAAGCAATAAATCAGCAGAAACAGACGAACAGACAGACAAACAAAACCTCCACATAAGGCATCCCTTCTCGGTTTTCTCATATAAGTAGTATAAATGAGAACGTAAATAACGAATTGCGATCGTGAAAAAAATCTATAGATATTGACGAATTTATACGTGTTAAGTCCCCTCCCCTTCTGAAAAAAAAAAGTTGCTTCTATAAGCCACCCGCCTTTCTTGTCTGTATGTTTCTCTGTGTGCATGTACTCGCATGTATGTGAGAGTCACTGGAACCCGAGCCGTTGGATGAATTATTCGTATTCAAGAATGCGTGAGTAGCGCGTCGGCCTTCGTAGGACATGAATATTTAGATACAAAAATAGAGGCCCTTTTTATAGACCATAAAACAAAATCGTGAACGACTTTAACGAGATTATTTCAATTTCAGCAGTTTATGGAGACCACGTCCATAATTAAAACTGCATAGATAATATCTCCAGAAAATAAGGGTGCTCACACAAAGGGCTCAATAATAAAATATCTATTTTGTCGATATCTGCTCCACATTTTGGGCGGATTTCATTGCTGTTCTGTATCCAATAACGAGCTAAGGCCTATCGAGCAACAGTAGCCTCTGTTACAGAGGTAACATAGTCAAAGTCAGTGGAATACGAGAAGCTATGGTCCGCTGTCTTATGTGTCCAATATTTCCGGAATCCCGGTGCTTGGACGTCCGCCATCTCGGTGTGTTATTCTTCTCCTTCGATGTCTTAATTTTTGTAAAGGAATCCTGAAATGTACAATATCTATTGGACCGTTCTTTGTGACGAAGAAACTGCGAGCGCTACGCCATTGTAACCGAGATATAGTAAGAACTAATATTTCCTGAGAAGATCGATAAATACTGGGGCTCAAAATTTCTGCTATTCACCAGTTTACTTACTTACTTACTTACTTACTCATGGAACTGAGCCCTCCTGGAGGAGCTGCCAATTCTGCAGCTACTCAAGAATTTTCCATCATTTTAACAAACCCGAAGGTTCATTACCGTGTTCACAAGAGCAGCACTAGAAGAAATAATTTATAGTTCCTACTAATGAGTAATAATTTTGTTTACTGTACAACCTCTTTATTACAACTGTCACAACACAACAAATATCAAGAACAGTGCCTAGTTTCGGCTTTCAATAGCCATCATCAGGCAAATACACGGTTAACACATATACACCACTGAACTGCAGTACTAGTAAAATTGGATACAATACTATTAATTATATGAAACACTTGACGTGAAAATACAATAAATCAGATTATATAAAACAGAAGTTATAGTATAAAACAAGAATAAAATTCTTAAATTGATGTTTTATATCATCGAATCAGTCGTTGGTTTTATAATTTTGTTTCATTCTCACGGACAAATTGGAATATTCTATGTTTTGTATATATGAAATTGTATAGGAGGCTCGTGATGTAGATGTAGTAAATTAATGTTAATTGTTTAGTCGGTGCCTCATCTTACAAAAATTATATAGGAGGCTCGTGATGTAGATGTAGTAAATTAATGTTAATTGTTTAGTCGGTGCCTCATCTTACAAAGTAAGTACTTCTGTTTTATATGATCTGATTTATTGTATTTTTACATCAAGTGTTTATATAATTAATAGTATTGTATCCAATTTTACCAGTACTGCAGTTCAGTGGTGTATATATGTTAACCGTGTATTTGCCGGATGATGGCTATTAATAGCCGAAACATGTAGCAGAGCCGAACCTAGGCACTGACCCTGGTATTTGTTGTGTTGTGACGGTTGTAATA